TAAAGCAATTCAGGTTCTGCTCCATTCAATGGCACCCTAGGGAGTTCAGTGACTGAAATCCATGCACTGCAGGGCCATGACTGCCAAGAGAGGGTGTCTTTTATGCTAATTCACAAAAAGGGCCCTGAGAGCCAACAGCATCCTTGCCTACCTGGCTGCCTGATGGTGCCAGCTGCCCCCTCCCAAGGGAGCTCCCCACTGCAGCAGTTGTGCCTGCTGGTGCTGCAGGCCTCTTGGTCATTCATGGGACCCAAACTGAAGCAGGGAATGCCTGGATCTCTGTTCTAGACCTAGGGGTCTGCTGTAGGTAGGACAGCACCTCCTTCCCTGCCCTTGTCCTGTGAATCCAGCTACTCACATACAGAAGCAGCAGTCTCCAGGTCTTTCTACTCTCCGCAAACCCTACCTTCAACCCCACGTCCCAGGGTCAGTTCCAGCTTCTGCCTCACTCGGGACAGGGATGGAATGGTGACCTCAGTGCAGGAGTAGCTGTGATCTAAAACAGAACTGCCTAGCCTCCAGAGCCCGCAAGTCCTGGAAGCAGCAGAAGGAAAACTACAAGGGCAAAGTCAGGCCTGGGAGAAGAGATCTCACTAGTGGCATGGAGTGCAAAGCAGTGGGTGATTTGGAGCAATGGCCCTGGAGACATTCGTTAATAAATGCCCTTGAGACACGCATCCTCCAAAGTCACTTGCCACATGCAGTGGCAGTGTTGGTGTCTGCCTGAAGGCCATTAGCCATCAAAGCCTGTCCATTCCTCAGGCCTCTGACATCCAGGCTGAGATCTTGTCTTAGGCCATTTGTCTGGAGAGTCAGAGACCTGGCCCCTCCCATTTGACAGATGGGGAAACTGAGGCCCAGGGCTGAGAAACTTCAAAGAGAGTGTTCTGAGAAGCAGGGGTCACTGAGAGGGCAGCATTGGGAAGATGAGGTGGGAGGGGGCAGCTGGGGCCTCTGAGCTACTTTCCCAGGCCCCCTGGCTCCAGCACCCCACCCCTCCCAACTCAGCCTTTGTCTGATTTGCTCTGTGACAGCTGGGGAGGCTGGGTCTCACCCTGGCTCCTGCCATCAGCCATCTCTGTGTGGCACTAAAGATCTGCGCGGGAGCCAGGCCCAGCAGCAGGCTTGGCAGGCAGCTCCACGTTGCCCGGGAGACCACAGAGGAGGAAATCTGCACCACACAGCTACCGAGGGCCAGATGGCCAGTGGTCCCAGAGGTTCCTCTCCCAGGGGCCACAGTCACATATATATACACTCACACTGCTGGAGTCCCACAGATACTGTGAGTTGGACAAGGAAACTGAGGTGCAGGGGGTGAAGGGCAGATTTATTGCCACTGAAGGTCTGTGTCCAGGAGCTGAGGACAAAGCCAGGGCCCTGCTTTTTGCTCTGGGCGCCGATGGCTTCATGGGGCTGCAGCCAAGAACATGGTCAGAGGGCCACATAAGCTTCTGTGGCCAGCTCTCTCAGGCCCCTACCCGGGCCTGTCTGGGAGCTAAATTTCCCTCTGGAAAGACCTCAGACTCTATCAAAGGCCTCTATTAACCCTTGTCCTTGAGAGCAACTGCCTTGCGTAGGCCCAGAGTCTGAGGAAGGCCCCCAGCTCTGGATGCACAGGAAGTAAGTGGGCAAGCACTGAAAGACGGAGGTTGGGCTCTGTGGAGGCCCAGTGGGGAGTCAGAAAAGGGATGCTGAGATTCGGGGCAGGACCCATTACCAGAGAACTCAGAGCTGTCCGGGCCTTGGTAATGGGAAGTCCACCGGCTTCATTCCACGCAGGAGGAAATCGGTGTATGTGGTGAGGGAGGGTGCAAGTCTCTCAGGAAGGCTGTCTCTGGCCTGGTCTTCCCTCCTTGAAGTGGGACTAGGGGAGAAAGAGAACAGAAAAGGCCCCACTGCAGCCTGCCTGCAGGTATGGGGCCTCCTCAGACCCCCAGAGACCCAGGCACAGGAGGGAACCCATGATCCTCAGGTGGGCACAGTGGTTCCACTGAAGGCAATTCTAACGTAGCCATTCCTCACCCCTCCTATGCCTGGGATGCCAGCCTTCCAGCCAAGTGCCTAGAAATGCTGAGCAGTTCCAGGCTGGGTTCCAGCCATCAGAGCACCTATGGCCTGCTTTCAGACAGCCCCGAGGCCAGTGGGTGACTGTACCTTTTCCTCCAAAACCTGATTCAGTGAAAAGCCCAGACTTGGACCTGCGCAAGGGTTTGAGGGTGAGGCTGAGACTCTCAGGGCTGGAGCCGGTGGGGTGGGGCCATCGGGAAGGGACGGGGAAGCTGTGGAAGTCTTCCCAGAGAAGGGGAGGGAGACAGCACAGCCAGCCCTGTTCCCCACCTTCTGTAGAACGTCTGGAAATCACCCAGAAAAGCTCCAAGCCAGGATCCTGATGGGTCCCTTCCGGTATAGCAGGGGATGGCTTGAAGCTCTTCAGCACTGGCACTCAAGCATAAATTAAACAGGGAGAGGGTTCGGGCAGCCTCTCAGGGTTCACAAAACTGAGCTAAATCACTCTACGGCCCGCTCCTCTGTGGCGCAAACGGAAATCCCCACCTGCTGGAGCTTGTCACGCAGGCAGCGCCTGCTCCCTGAGAGCTGGGAGCTGCCTGCAGCCCAGAGCCTCCCGCCCCCCAGCCCCCGCCTGCTGCCTGAGCTGTCAGCCCAACTCCCAAACAGGCTGATTATCCCCATCTGGGGAAAACAAAACATGTCAGCAGCTGCGCCTGAGAAGAGAGCTGTCTTCTTAGTGAGAAGTAATCTGAGGAAAACTCCCAGCTCCGATCCACAATAAGAAGTGAGTGAGCGACCTCGCTGTTCTTGACATTGCTTCCTCCTGACACCGACACACGCAGGCCACCAGCATCACCTCCTCTGAGAAGCCTTCTGGGCCTGAGCTGACCCTGCCCGGGCAGCTGCCAGGTCCGCTGACCCTCTCAGGGCTCGCCGTGAGATTTCAGTCAATGTTCCCCTATGCTGCCCTAGAGCTTCCATCTATTTCAGAGTGAGACTGTGGGTCACACCATGTGTTGCTTTGTAGGGATTTTGGAGATGGCTCTAGGCAGGAAGAATGTTCTGGTGGAACAGGGAAGCCTGGGCCGGCCATTGGGGTGCACCATGGCTATAGATCCAGCTTGTCTCTGTTTGGGGAAAAAAATAATCATAACTTAGATCTTCAACCCCTCAGGATTTCCAGTCTCCATGCTTCCCCCACCTGGGATGCCCTTCAAGCTACCTGGCATGCCTACACTTTTTCTATCTTAGATGCCCCTCAAACCCCAGTCAAAAAACAAAATCTCAATCCTCCCCAGCTGAAGGGGTCCACCTGCCTCCGATAAGCCTTTGCACCTCCAACTGGCATGGTGTTCATTTTAGGAGAGGGCAGCCCAGGCTGCTGTGGTCTCTTCTGTCAGCCCCCGGATCCAGCCTAGGGCCCAGACATGGTCAATGTCCTGGAAATATGCTAAGTAGGTGAAAGTGAAAGTTTCCTCTCTCCCAGCCTGGCCTCTCTCATGGCTTCCACCTCTGTTAATCTGCTGGAGCTGCCACCTCCGTCTTCTCCCCAAACTCTAAGGAGGATCCTCGTGATGACACTTTATCCAGGGCCCTCCTGCCTGTTCTCTTAGGGAGGGAAACTAACATTCCCTGACTCCAACATACCTCCATCCTGCCAGGTAAAATGAGAAGCATTTTACACATTTATCTAATCTAACATTCACAGCAACAACACTGTATATTTGCTGTTATATGACCCATCTTACAGATGCAAAAACTGAGGCTCCAAGAAGATACAGCCCTGCCCTAGGTCCTTGGTGGCAGAGTGAGGATCGGCATTCCAGGTCTCTTGTTTCCGAGCCAGGGCTCTTTCCTCCGCAGTAGGCAACCTCATTCAACCTTCAACCTGAGTTCCAGTGGCTACGCTTCAGACAAAGAGGACTGCTCCTGGGAGAGCCCCCACACCACAGCTCCCCTCCAGGGCGGACACTCGTTATTATCAGCTAACTGTTCTAAGCATTTACCATATGCTGGATATAGGGCTAAGTGTTTTGCATAAATTGACACATGATAAATTGCAGATGAGGAAACTAAGGCACACAGAGGTTGGCAAATTTGCTGAAGCTATTATGTGTCAGCCCATCTTCTTAATAGCATTCAAGCTGTGTGACACCAAAAATGTGGGTCATCTGCCTTTACCCTGAAGCTACACAGAATGCCCCCACCCAGTTGTGATGGGGTGGAAGCCCCCCTCTCCACCCTGCCTGCAGCTACTGAGAGTAGTCCTAGACCCCACTACCCTCGCTCTCCAAACTCCCACCCTGACCATGAGCTTGTCAAGGGCAGGGGCCAAATTCAGCCTCCTTCATTTCCTCCCACAACGGAGCAGATCCCAGAGTCAAGCCAAAAGGGAGCATAATGATTTTATGTGTGCATTTATGATGTTTACTCTTCCTGCTTCCAGAGCAAATGTAAGGTGGTTTAGAATATTGAAATGCATAATTGGGACAATAAAATTATTCTTTAAAACAGAGCTGTTGGGATCCAAGCAGCAGGCAGGAAGATGGAGTTCTAGCAGGCAGCTGGGAGGAGTGAGGCTGGGACGCAAGAACACGGGTTTATGTCCCTGGCTGTGCCACGCATGACCTTGTGTAAGTCACTCCTTTCTTAAGTCTCAATGTGCCTATCCATAAAACAGCCAGGCCAAATATAGATGCGGAAGGATTGAAGTCAAAGGACAGCTTTTCAAACTCTGCTACATGGAGCCCTAGGAGTTCACCAAGGATACTCAGTGGCTGACATGAGTGGGAAGGAAGAGCCGGGTCAATAATTGGGCCCAGGTCTTGCACTCACACTGCAATCAGACTGACTCTACTTTCGTCTGTTTTAGTCATTTGAGCTTCTAAGATGCTCAGTCATTTGAGCTGCTAAAAATGTTTGAGAAACTACAATGGACAAGACTTTCTGTAAAGGAGTTTCCATGTTTAATGCCCTCTGCCTTTATTCTTCTTGCCATCTTGCCTATCCACAGCAAGCCTCAGTTCTAGGCATAGCCTGCCATTCCTGATCTTGGAAGGACATTTGAGCACGGGGTGAGAGATGGACATCCCTTGAAAGGGGACTACAGTTCGGGTCTTTGCACGTGGTGGAGGTTGCTAAAGTGGAAGCCAAAATCCCTTTCCTCTTCAGGTAGGAGGAGGTCACTGTCTGTCCCCAAGACCCAAGACATGGGCCTTGGTCTAGGGAGCTGATATGGTTTGAATCTGTGTCCCTGCCCAAATCTCATGTCAAATTGGAGGAGGGTACTGGTGGGAGGTGACTGGATCATGAGGGTGGATTTCCCCCTTGCTGTTCTCATGATAGTGAGTTCTTATAAGATCTGATGGTTTAAAAGTGTGTGGCACTACCCACTTTGCTTTCTCTCTCCTTCTGCCATGTGAAGAAGGTGCTTCCTTCCCCTCTGCCTTTTGCCGTGATTGTAAGTTTCCTGAGGCCTCCCAGCCATGCTTCCTGTACAGCCTGCAGAACTGTGAGTCAATTCAACCTCTTTTCTTCATAAATTACCCAGTCTCAGGTAGTTCTTGTTAGGAAAATATAAAGGAAGAGAGAAAGGCAACTCGATGGCCAAATAGGTTTGTTTATAGGAATAAGCCTGTGAGGGGTCCCAGTGAGGAATCTGGCTGAGATCCTAATCGCTTACAAACTGAGGCTTTTATATTAAAGTTTCCATAGGGGAGGGGTTGGGGAAGTGCTGGCATGTTGGAACTGTTGGGGGCTAAGGAAGGAAGTGGTAAGGGCCTGTCGGGCTCTGCTGTGGTTAGGGTTCTTGGGCTCTGTTAAAGGTATGGGCAAGGTTGACACTTGTTTTGTTTCTGGGAACACCATCACCAACGTAGAAGATTGGCATCGCTATTCTTAGTCCTCACATTTCTTTACAGCAGTGTGAGAAGGGATCAATACAGGAGCCATGGATTTCAAGGGCCCTCCCTCACCCCTCCTTAGCCCACATCTGCAGGGCCTCCGTGCTGCAGGCAAACATAGGCTCCTGAAGAAGATCACATCAGACACAGGCGGACAGGCAGATGGTCCAGGTAAGTGCCTGTCCATCAGTGGGGACTGGATGTTCCTGATCCCAAGGCTGCAAGGATGATGCAGTCACTTCCCAGATCACCAGGTGGCCCCTACGTATGCCTCAAGGAGGCTGTGCTATCAGCTCCCCACTATCAAAGGTGCACACTCCCTCCCTCAACCTTTGCCATGGCTGAGCATTGATCTTTGACCACTGTGGTGGGGAGGGCAACACAGAGCCATTCATGCTGCCCAGCCAGCTCTCCTATGGCCAACTTGCTGGTGGACTTTGTCACTTCAAAGTCTGGTCTCAGCCTGAGCTGCCTCTTAAAAAGTCTAACCCCCCAAGCCCAGTCATAAGTGATCCATGCAATAAGAGGTCTGAGCTGCAGCATAAACTTCGAGTTCAGTCTGAGTACTCCTACACTCCTGAAAAAAAGTTCTGGGTCCTGGGAGGGGGCAGGAATGAGGATACCCTCAGGGCTGTGGTGGTCTAGTCCTCTGGCTCTGAAGGTGGGAGGAGAGAGAAAAGGTAGGAGGGCAGATGGCCAAGACATAGGGTAAATGGGCTGGGAATGGGTAGAGCTGCTGTGAGTCACCTTCCCATCCATGAGCACAAGATGGGGCTTTGGGGGCCTGGAGTAGTGCAGCCCCATGTTCTTTCCAGGACAACTTGGACACCCCAGCCTACCCAAGGGGTGCTGGCAATGGCAGGCCTGACTTGGCTTCTGAGACGGGGTTTTCCATTAGCCACCCCCAGAAGGACGCAGAGTCCCCATGACCTCTTGGCCTAGCCTCATGCCTCACCTTACTCTGTCTCTGCAGCACTAGACATCATGCCCCTCAGCCTCCTTGATCCCACCCACTGCCATTCCTCCTCTGCCTCCCGGGATAAGCCTTGCCCCTTCCCTTCAAGGAGGGTGGTCCCCAGACTGTGGGTCCTGACCTTCTTCTCACTCTTGCCAGGAACTCTCAGCCAACACTTGAACTGGGACATGGCACAATCTCTGTGGGATGGGGGATTATGTAGTTAGAGGTGTCTCCCAAGGAGGTCCGGTACTCAGGTGAGGGAGCACAGTGCAAGCTGCCCTCCAACATCTGGAAAGACAACTTCATGCCATGGACCCTTACCTGGCCTGAACAACAGGTGTTATATGTCTCAGGGGAAGAACTGTGGGTCCCCAGTACTTCTGGGTGAGTTTTGTACCATATCTTGTTGTGGAGACGGGTTTAGGAGCCTGCATCTTGCAGGAGTGAAGCCTGGGCCAGGCCCCCTGACTCTGGCATTTTCTTCTCCCCTGGCACCTACCTGGGACCGATGGCTGCTCTTGGGCCTTGCTGACACCCTTTGATGCGGAAGCTGTTCTCTTCCTCCCTGCTCCATGTGCTGCTTGTCACCCGCCTTTCTCCTGAACTGTAGGCTGAAAGCTCCAGGCCATTTTAGTCCAATTTTCTCCTCAAATAAGCAGGTGATTGTACCATTAAGACCTGGTACATGCTGTTCAGAATCAGCAAGGAGCAATAAAGTGGGACAGATAATGAGAGCTGTCGGGCAGGAACTGAACATGTCCCCTCTCCTCTGCCATGTCCCCGCCCCTCAACACCCCCTAAGGTTTCTCTCCACAGATCAGATTGAAAGGAGTCTTCTCAGGCACAGAGAGTCCCAGCCTCCCCAGTTGGTGAGACCCTCCATGTGGCTGTGGGCAAACCACCTGTCTTCTTAGCCTCGGTTTCCTCATCTGTACAGTGGGCATTAATACCTTCCTCAAGGAGTGAGAGTATATTTTAAAGCCAAGGAGGAAGCCAGTCATTGGAAACAGTCACTGTTACAGTCCATCATCAGCATGGATTCTCTCACCACCTATGGCAGGCTGTCTGAGCCAGGCTTGTTCTCCTCCTTTCTATGAATAAGGAGACAGGTGTGCAGGAGTTAAATGTTGCCTGCTGTTTTTGCATCTGTTTGAAGCACCCTAAGCAATAATAGTACATATTTGGCTGGGTGCAGTGGCTCACGCCTGTAATCCCAACACTTTGGGAGGTTGAGACAGGTGGATCACCTGAGGTCAGGAGTTCGAGACCAGCCTGACCAACATGGCAAAACCCCAACTCTACTAAAAATGAAAAAAAATTAGCTGGGCATGGTTGTGCATGCCTGTAATCCCAGCTCTTCAAGAGGCTGGGGCAAGACAATCGCTTGAACCCAGGAGACAGAAGTTGCGGTGAGCCAAGATGGTGCCATTGTACTACAGCCTGGATAACAGTGTGAGACTCCATCTCAAATAATAATAATAATACATATTTATGTAGACCTTGTTATGCCCTAGGCTCAGCACTCCACTCACCACCCTGAGATGGTTATTTCATTACCCATCAGGGCAAACTGAGGCAGACAGCATTCAAGCTAGTTGCCCCTAGAATCCTTTAGTCAGCAGCAGGCAAATGTTTGAGCCCAGATAATCTGATCTCCGATGCACACCAGGCCATGCTCCCTCACAGGCCACCCGATGCCCCTGTGACTCCAAGGACCAGACGCCTGGAGAGAGGGAATGAACCTGGATGGCTCAGAGTGGCCACCAGGTCATGTGAATCAGGAAGTCACAAAAGTTAGCATTTCCTATAAACAGGGAGATTCTGTTTTGTCTGACCAAGGGTAAGGAATGGGGAGAAGAAACCCTTCTTCCTTCTGCCTCCCTTGTGGCCTCTCTTTTCTCCAGGTGTCCGCCCTCCCATTCTCCTCCATCCTCTTCCACTTGGAGGTCCTTTGGCTCATGACTCCCGCTCTCTCCCTTTTGTGCTTCTCCACATGTCTGTCTGCCGCTCCCCCACAAAAGTGGCTTCCCCTCCCAGACAAGGACAGTGTGTGAGGATGAGGAGGGTGGGAGGATGAGGAGGTTGCATTGCTGCTGACCCTGGCTGCAGAGCTTACAGCACAAAGGCCAGCAGGGGCAGATCTGGGGCTCGAGCATCCTGAATCCCCTGCCCTACCTTCTCTGGTCATTTCTGGCCAGAGCATCCCAGCTGGCCAGAAGTGATACCCACACCTAGCCTCTCCTCCAGGACGCCTGTCCCTTCTCTCTCTCCTCTCTTCTTTCCATCTACCTTCCTCCTGCATTCATTCATTCAGCAAACACCATCCAATGCTTATTCTGTGCCAGGTACTAGGCCTGGGCCTGGGGGTCAGAGGTGAAAAGGACACAGCTCAGGCCCCGTTGGCAGAGGAGTGGCAATTCCTCACAGTGTTTAAAGGGCATACAGAGGCCTCCATAGAAAGGCTCATGGAGCCTGAGAAATGAGCCTATTCTCTGGTATTTGGAAAGCCTCCTAGGGTATTTCCCAGTGACCCTGAGCTGATTCATCTCATTTAAACATGGATGTGTTGATGACCTATGTACCAGGGCATTTGTGACATCTGAGCTAAAGCTTGAAGGAGGATCAGGGACTCCTGGGGATGGACCCATCTCCCACCGAATCTCTACCCTGCCCCACATTCCTGTCCCCAGCCAGCATGGCTGATGCCCAGGGAGACACAGAAAAGGAAGGGCAGGCACTATTTCCCCAGCTTTCTGACTGAGGTAGAAAGAAAGCACAAAGTTCTCATCTCCCATTTGGGAGGCCTCCACCCATTGTCCTCTCTATCATAGCAAATTCTCCTCCACCAAGACTAGCACCAGCTCCAGCTGGGCCCCTCACCCTCTACCCCTGCACCATACATCTGGGCACTGACTTGGCCCTCTGGGGTACTCACCCTGATCCCTAACCAGTTTCCTAATCAGCATGGCCTTGTCCTGAGTGGCAGGCTAGGGTCAGGACAAGGAGGAGGGGAAAGTCCAGAGCCCCACCTCGTGGCAAGTACTCCTGCCTCGCGTCTTCCCAGGCGCCCCTCACCACCCCCTGCCCCACCCCCATATGGTCAGCTGCTCCTCCTGCTGGCATTGGTAGAGCTAGGGAGGAAGAATAGGTGAGGGCAGGGCCTTCTACCTTCCCTCTTGGTTCATAAAGTGACAGGACGTGGGAGACCACAGGAGCTGGGAGGAGCCCCTGGCAGACAGCAGGAGCTCTAAAGGTTTGGGGGTTGGTGGAGGGGAGAAACTGAAGAGTCCCCCAGCAGCTCAGAAGTGGCTTTGGCCTTCTGCTTGGGTCCAGGTGAGAAAGGTTAATTCTCTTGCCTCCTGCTCCTCAGAGGACCTGATTGCTCTTTGCCACAGGAAGACAACCTTATGCAAAGCTCTTTAATTAACAGATGAGAAAACTAAGCCCAAGAGAGGCTATGTGAGGCCTTCAAGTCCCACAGCCAGTGAGTGGCCAGGGCATCAGACATCTGACACAAGTCATGCTCTGGATGATGTGGGCCCCGTGGTTTGGTGGCATTGCTGCTTATGATGAATGCCATCTCCTTCCCCAGCGGGGCAGAACAGATGCGGCCCCCACTGAGTATTGCAGAAGAGGAGCTGGTGCTACCAACCTGCGAGGCCCAGAGAGTGCAAAGCCAGTTCCAGGAAGACTCTGCCTCCGCTTACCGGCCCTCTTTCCCACCTTCCTCCTGCCCTACCCACACCCAGGAGGGGTCAGAAAACGGCTTGTAAATGGGAGGGTGGGGGCTGGAAGACAGAAGGCCAAGAAGAACAAAGAAACCGGCCATGTCCCACCCCCTGCCCCTCCCACTGCAGGTTCCAGCCCTGAGTGTGGCATGGGGAAAAGATGTGCCATTGAATCAATTTCAGAATTTTAATGAACATCTTGTCTGTGACATAGGAGTGAGCAGAAAAGACATGAGACCTGCCTGAGTTTTCAGCTCATAAAGCCAGCAAAGATTACTCCCATGGTGCAGTTTAAAGGGGCTGTGTGATACAAAAATAAAGTGTTTTCAATAGACCCAAACCCTGCTTGTTCTGGGGCCTGTCCCCATAAATGTGGGCTAAAATTATCATTCCCACACCTTTGTGATCTCGTTCACCTCGATGGGACACACCGCTAGTCATGTACTCACAGGACCACATGCATTCTTCTGCCTTGGGTCTTCCTTCTGTTTATCTTCCCTGGATACTTCCAGCTGCTGCTTGCCACTAACCCATTCAGTGCCTTTGGCTAAGGAGGTCTCCGCCCCACCAGGCCTCAGTTTCCCTCTCTGTAGCAGGATGAGACAAACGAGACCATGTCTAAGGGTCCATCTTAACTGTTCCAGGTAACAGTAGGGGTTCCCTCATTCCTGATCTTGAAAAGTCTTGGTTCTCTAGGTGGGCACAGGAAGCTGGAATGAGGATTATGGTGATAAGACAGATACACATCAGGGAAATCCACACAATCTGGATTTCTGGCTTCGTCTGAGCAGTTGGACAATCTGGCAGCATTGACCCAGCATGTGACAGTAGTCAGATGCAGCATGTAAACAGTCCCTTCATCCAGAACCAAAGCTCTCCCCTTAACCACGCCCCTCACCACTCCCCATTGCTCCCATCCCTAATGCCAGCTGCCATCCACCACTGAACAGGAGCTGCGGCTTTAGTAGAGAACAGTTACTCTGTCATTGTGTCACTATCAAAGGTGGAAAACTGAACTGGAGGATGAGAGGACATGCGTGTTTTAGAAAAGATAGCAAAAGGAGACTATGTCCTTCCAAAGTGCAACTTGTCCACTAACCACTTGCCTGGTCCTGTGCTCTAATTGGATGTCCCAGCCTGAGGCTTCTAGCAGTTGAGTTGGCGTTCTTGAGTCCCTCAGAGGACAGCCTGGCCCTGCCCTACTTGCTGCTCCTGCTGCCCCAACAGGACTGAGGGGTTTGCACAGGCCCCCAGCATGCTGACATTCTCTCGGGGGGCTCCCTCCTCCCCTTTCTTCACCCAAGCTAAGACAACCTTCTCTAGACCCAGAACCTCATGTGGCAGCAGGGGAAGCCCATGCCTCCTCCAAAAAGGAGGAATGCTTGCATGGCAGATGTGGGAGCCAGCCTGGAGCCAGGCTGGGCATGGGAATATGGGGCACTAAGGGGTCTTCCTGGGTGAGGGTCTTTCCTGGGACCCTCACTCTTAACCCCCCTGCACATTCCCACATAAATAACCAGCCAACATGGGAATAAATCCCCTTCAGACCGTTTGCCTCCCTCCCTTACTCCCTCCCTCCCTCCCTCCCTCCCTCTGCTGGAGTTCCCATGACAACCAGAGTTCACCTTTGATGCCAAAAACACTTCAAAAACAACAAAACCCCACCCTCCACTAGGAGGGAAGAGGGACAAGGCCCTTCCCCGACATCTCCCCAAAAGCAGCACAGTGCTGGGAATCTGGGAATCTACATAGGACCAGAGGCAGAGTGGGTGGGGCAGTTCCAAAGGGCTTTTCCATTTTTCCTCCTGGGCTGTATTCCATTTTCTGCATACTCACTGGTGGCTCACAGCTGACCCAGGGCTTCTCCATAGTATCTACCTGATCTGGAGCTATTCAGGATGATGGGCAAAGGACTGCAAGGGAGGTGGCAGTGCAAGGCTCAGAGGAGCAGCTGTAGCCCTGGGATGTAGGTTCAGAAAGAGCCCAAGCTGCCCAGCTCTGCCTGGCCCAGGCTGTGTGACCTCAGACAAGGCATTTCCCTCTCTGGTTCCCTAAATCCTCCCACTTCACTCCCTACTCCCCCTTCCTTGATTCACACCAAAGTATAAGTGACTGATAAAGCTTCAAGTGGCATGAGAAGCTGGCCTGTGATGGTGGCATTTCAGCCCCGAGGAGCCAGGCTTGGCATTGGGGAGCATTTTCTACTTCTCTGAGATCCCACAAGGTGAAGAAGGGAGTAAGCCTGACTCTGCCCAACCCCAGCCACTGCCCAAGCCAGTCCCTTCAGGGGACCAACCCCCAGCATGGGCCACTGCCTGAATGCTCACCATGTGAGCTGCAGGACAGCCATCACCAACAGCCAGCGTGCCCTCCACCCCATTCCCTTAGGGTGGATCAGTCTCTGAAACACAATGATCGGGCAGCAGGAGGGGGAAAAGTGTTGCAGGAGGAACAGTGGGACTAAAGGGTGACAGGAGAGGGACAGACAGTGAGCCTTAGAGCCCGCATTTGTACCTGTGAGCAGAGGGAAGTGGGGTCTAGTCCTGGCTCTGCCCTCAGCTCCCTCTGCACAGTGTCCCCTCCCTGGGCCTCAGCCTTCTGAACAAGGAGAGAATTGGATGAACCCTGGTGGAGAGCACAGCAGGATGATGTCCCACCAGACTGCGGCTCCATGGGACCTCGCCTTCATCTGGACCCCAGGCTCCCAATTCAGGTTGTGGAATGAAGGAAGGAAGGATGAGGAGGAAGGAGAGATGGTGGATGTGGAGGTCAGGAGCAGAAGCAGGTGGGGACTGAGCCCCAGCTGGTGGCCAAGGCCCAGCCAATGGGGACAGGCCAAGGAGCTGCCTCTGCCTGGGACTCCATGGCCTCGTGGCCCCTGAGTCAGAAACTGCAGAGACAGAAGGAAGTTGCTATGCCCTGTGGGACTTACACAGGAGGCCCTAAAGCACAGGAGGGGCTTTAGATGCTCATTGCTGATGGGGGGGTGGGGCCAGGTAAACAGTTATAGCTCCATCACTGCATGGGAGGTGGAAGGTCTCCTTAGGGAGCTTCGGGAGAGAGTAATGAGGTGGGTGAATGTGATTCACGTCTCCCTGAATGTGAGCTATCTGAGCAGAAGAGGAGTCCCAGAGAAAGTGACAACAAGACCAGCATGAGGACCTCATGGAGCAAAAAACAGGAGCAGCAGCTGGCAGGCAGAGAGGACCTAGCAAATGCTAGAGGATGGGAACAGCCAGAAGCATGGGGTCATGGGAAGGGTGTGTGTGCATGTGCATATGTATTATGTGTGTGCACATGTGCATGTATACATATGTGTGTGCACATGTTTGTGTGTGTGTGACTGAGAAAAACAGAAGTGGGAAGGAGCCAGAGCATGAAAGGCTCAAGCTCCTGAAAGCCTTGGCAGTCCAACAGTGGAGAGGGCAGATTGGGAGGGGGTTAGCAGGAGGGGGGACCACCCAGAGCAGAAGGGACAGCCCACCTCCAGCACCCTGACACCATTCCACCCAGCATTTCCCCAGCGCCCACTTCATGATAATGGGCAACACTTTTGTAACGCTCATGTGTGCTGGACACAGTTCTAAGCATTTTGCATGAACTAGCTGGTTTAATTTGTACAACAATCTCATTTGCTAGTGTTATATTCTTACACGTTTTATAGGTGAGAACACTGAGGCATGGAGCAGTGTCGGGACTCTGGTTTTCATATCCAGGCAGCTGCTCCAAAGTCTCTGCCTTTGGCCGTCCTGTGCTCCTGCCTCCTGCCCACCCAGCACAGGCAATGTGTCAGCTGTTGGGGGCAAATAAAACATAGACCAGACATGCTGGAGCCTAACCTGTGGCTGGCAGGGGTGGTGGGAATAGTGAGAAGAAGGTGGTTTGGGGAAATACTTGGAGGTGATGTTTCATTAAAAGGCAGTGGGGGAGCAGTGGCAGTGGCAATGGGGAAAGGGCTGGAGCACTGCCTGGGACTGTTCCCCACTGAGGTGATTGCACCTCCCTGACCTTCTCACTGAGGTCCAGGTGGAGGCAGAGGAGTTGGCACACACTAGTGGCAATTTCCCCACCCACCCAGCCCTGGATCTGCCCAGCCTCTCTGGGGTACCAGTTAGAGCTGCAATGGGAAGACTGTGAAGGCAGAGAGGAGCAACAGGAGGGGCGAGGCCACCATCACAGCAAGAGCAGCAGCAGAAATGTCCCCACTTACTCTGGACACACCTTTCTCCTTGGGGTTCCTCGTGACCCAGACCTGGGTCCCTCTGAGGCCAGAGCTCAGTAATTGACAGGGACTTCTCACCCATCACAGGCTCCTGAAAACCGAGGTGGTTCTCCCTCCTCAGGTAAAATGCTACCCCTGCCCAGACCACACTGGACGTCACCCATCCATAATTTAACAAGTACTTGATTTAACACTAAATAAATTGTAACATTAATTTATAACCTGTATAATTATATACAAAATATATTTACCTGAATATATAACATACAATCTATATATAATCATAAATTAACTATAACATTAGTTAATGGGTTTAACAACTCCATGCCTACCTTCTGCCAGGCACTGGCACTCTGGAGGCAGGGTGGGCAGGTTCACACACCCTGGGCAGGGTGGTCACAAGTCTGATTTCACAGAGCTTGCAGCCTGATGGGAAGGCGGGACAAGGACGGGGAGGATGCTGCATGAAGAAGGACAGGCAGAAGGGGCACCATGCAATTTTGTTGAGGTGGGGACGGCTGTGGAGTTGTGGAAGGCTTCCTGGGGGAGTGACATCTAAGCTGACACCTGATGAAGAAGGGAGGTCAGGCAGAGGAAAAGAAGCGAGGAGAAGACAGACCAGGAAGGAACAGGGAGAAGAGACAGGGACAACCTAAGGGCTCGGGGTGAGGCGTCCAGTGTGATGAGCACTGTTTGGAGTCCAGAGCACTTGGGTGAGAAGTGGGGATGCAGGAGATGGGCCTGACAATCAGCTTCCTGGGCGGGAGTGGTGAGGAACTGCTGGGAGCATCCGTGTGTATTTGGGGATGAGCAGCATGGTGAGATTCAGAGGGGTCTCTCTGAGCCAGACTCAGGAGAACACCACTTCAGAGGCAGCTGCAGTCCAATGGAGGACGGATGCATGGGCCAGACTGGTCAAGGTGGCAGTGGAAGGAGGTGACCAGAGTCAAAAGGAAGTGGAATTTGAAGTGCATGACAGTTGCCCATCTTGGTGTGATGCATAAGGTGAATGGCAGGGGTACCCCTACGGCAGAACTCAAGATGAAGAGCAGCTTTGGAGGGAGTGGTGATGAGATCAGCTTCCAGGATGTTGAATGTGAAAGGCCTGTGGTCCACAC